TGTGCGTGTGGTGTGTGTGTGTGGTGTGTGTGTGTGGTGGCGTGTAATGTGTGTGGCGTGTGATGTGTGTGGCGTGTGATGTGTGTGATGTGTGTGTGGTGTGTGTGTGTGTGTGTGGTGATGTGTGTGTGTGTGATGTGTGTGTGGGTGATGTGTGTGTGTGTGATGTGTGTGTGTGGGGTGTGATGTGTGTGTGTGTGGTGTGATGTGGGTGATGTGTGTGTGTGTAGTGTGTGTAATGTGTGTGGCGTGTGATGTGTGTGTGGTGTGTTGTGTGTGTGGTGTGTGTGGTGTGTGTGTATGTGTGTGTATGGTGTGTGTGTGATGTGTGTGTATGGTGTGTGGTGATGTGATGTGTGTGATGTGATGTGTGTGATGTGTGTGTGATGTGTGTGTGTGTGATGTGTGTGGGTGATGTGTGTGATGTGATGTGTGTGATGTGTGTGTGTGATGTGTGTGATGTGTGTGGGTGATGTGTGTGATGTGTGTGGGTGATGTGTGTGATGTGTGTGGGTGTGATGTGTGTGGGGGTGATGTGTGTGTGATGTGTGTGTGGGTGATGTGTGTGGGTGGGTGATGTGTGTGTGGGTGTGATGTGTGTGGGGGTGATGTGTGTGTGTGGGGGTGATGTGTGTGTGTGTGTGGTGATGTGGGTGATGTGTGTTATGTGATGTGTGTGTGTGTGATGTGTGTGTGATGTGTGTGTGTGAGTGATGTGTGTGTGTGTGATGTGTGTGATGTGTGTGTGTGATGTGTGTGTGTGATGTGTGTGTGTGTGTGATGTGTGTGATGTGTGTGTGTGGTGTGTGTGTGTGGTGTGTGTGATGTGTGTGGGTGATGTGTGTGATGTGTGGTGTGTGATGTGTGGTGTGTGATGTGTGTGTATGTGATGTGTGTGTAATGTGTGTGTGTGGTGTGTGTGTGATGTGTGTGGTGTGTGTGTGATGTGTGTGTGTGATGTGTGTGTGGTGTGTGTGATGTGTGTGTGTGATGTGTGTGTGTAAGGTGTGTGATGTGTGTGGGTGATGTGTTGTGTGATGTGTTGTGTGTGATGGGGAGTACGTGGTGATGGGGTGTCTGTAATGTGTGTGATGGGTTCTGTGATGTGTCTGTTTGATGGCTTTTGTGATGTGTGGTGTGTGTGTTATTGTGTGTAACGTTACGTGTGTAGCGTCTGTACGAGATGGGGTTACAGTCTATGTGGAAGTGTGGTTGGTGTGTGGGTATGACGATGGCACGTGTGAGCTACGTGATGTCGCTCTCGTGTGTGTGATTATGGTGTCTGTGATGTGGCTGACGATGTGTCTGTGAATGCACGTACGTACACACGTGTGACGACAACGTGCAATCATCTCTCTCGTGCTGACGTTCGCTCGGTTTCATGCTGAGTTGACATAAGGGATGGGGCACACACGGGTTTCAGATACAAGGTGACACAGACAGCGGATCGAACTCAGATGATTCAGATTTGAGCAGAGTTCCAGGCAAGTTTTCTCAGTAGGGGGGGTGGGGTGAACGATTTTGCTGCTGTGTCATCCCAGTTGAGTCGTTTCCAGGTTATTGATCAGCATTGGGAACTGCTTGGCCAATACCAATTCTATGTTTTAGTTTACCCGTGGTGAAGGGGGAATAAAAAACGGAGCTGAACAGCAAGGCACACGGGTCAGGAATCGAACCCAGGCCCAGGTGTTATCACTGCGTCACCCTGCCGGCCCTGAACAGTGAATTGGTGGTGGTGGTGGTAAAAGGGGCTTTGTGTTGAAGGCTGTACACGATCGGGTAGCTGTGTGAACTGCGACAATGGGTGGCATTGCTCACTCGCATTACCGCTGTCAACATCATCATCATCAGTCAACATCATCATCAGTGTCAACATTATTAACATCATCATCATTGTCAGCATCATCATCATCAGTCAACATCATCATCATTGTCAACATCATTATTAACATTATCATCATCATTGTCAACATTTGAATTGTTAGTATGATCATTGTCAACATCCTCATCATCGGTCAACATCATCATCATTGTCAACATCATTATTAACATTATCATTGTCAGTATGATCATTGTCAACATCATCATCAGTCAACATCATCATCATTGTCAACATCATCATTAGCATGATCATCAATCAACAACATCATTATTAACATCACCATCCGTCAACATCATCATTATTGTCAACATCAGCATCATCATTACTATGGGGACCTCATTTGCCAGTAAAAATATGATAATTGGTTCTTTACCCTTCTATCTGGCAACAAAACTGACACCTTTTTGCAAGGAGTCATGTTTGCATAGACCGCAATACCTGCAGTCATAATACAAACAAAAGAACATAACTCTGATAATGTGCACTGTCCTTGAAGTTGATTGGTCCACACCCGAGACAGCTTTCCTTCGAGCCTAGTCTCATATGGCGTCATCTGGTCCAACCCATATGAGACTAGGCTCGAAGGAAAGCTGTCTCGGGTGTGGACCAATCAACTTCAAGGACAGTGCACATTATCAGAGTTATGTTCTTTTGTTTGTATTATGACTGCAGGTATTGCGGTCTATGCAAACATGACTCCTTGCAAAAAGGTGTCAGTTTTGTTGCCAGATAGAAGGGTAAAGAACCAATTAGCATCATCATTGTCAACATCATTATTAACATGATCATCCGTCAACATCATCACCACTGTCAATATCATAATCACTGGAAACATAATGTATGATCATTGTCATTATCATCATCATTGTCAACATCATTATTAACATCATCATCAGTCAAAATCATCATTGTCAACATCATTATTAACATCATAATCAGTCAACATCATCATTAACAATATAATCAGTCAACATCATCAACATCATCGTCGTCGTCACTCCCAGCATTGTCTCCATCAGTGTTTCTCGTGCTCCGTGTTGCTCTCGCGGAGACGACACGACCATTTGTCCTCACCAAACCGCACGTTTTTGGTTGTGCCAGTTGCACGGATGAATTAAGATCGGTCAATGAAAGACGGGCAAGTTAGAGGGTTCCACGGCTTATTTCTTTTTTCTCTCACCAACTTTGTTCGAGGGCACAGTCCTGTGGGTTTACATCTTGACCAATGGCTTACTGGTGCACGTGGGTTCCACGATGGGCCTGGACGATACGGTGAAGGTCACAAGGGGGTGACACCCAGTAAGCATGTCCACGTTGTTGGGTCAACGTTGGCCGAACCTGTCATGCTGACTGGCCCAGAAGGGTCGAGATCACGGTAGTGCTGTAGCGTCGTCGTTGTGGTAAATGTCAACATCAACATCATTATTAACATCATCATCATCATTGTTAACATCATTATTAACATCATTGTCATCATCATCATTGTTAACATCATCATTGTTAACATCATTATTAACATCATCATCATTGTCAACATCATCATCGTCATCATCATTATCATCATCATCATTGTCAACATCATCATTATTAACATCATCACCATTATCATCATTATCATCATCATCATTGTCAACATCATCATCATTGTCAACATCAGCATCATCATCATTATTAACATCATCATCATTGTCATCATCATTGTCATCATCATCACCATTGTCAACATCAGCATTGTCAACATCAGCATTGTCATCATCATCATTGTCAACATCATCATCATTGTCAACATCATCATCATTGTCATCATCATTGTTAACATCATCGTTAACATCATCATTATTAACATCATCATTGTCAACATCAGCATCATCATCATTGTCAACATCATCATTGTCATCATCATTGTCAACATCAGCATTGTCATCATCATCATTGTCATCATTGTCAACATCATCATTGTCAAGGTCATCGTCACCGTCTACATCGTCACTGTCTGTTGAGGGGTTTTCTTTTTGTTAAACTAAATTCTCGTCTTGTTATTTCGGTTGCCGACCCCCTGATCTAAAACATCGGTTGTATACTCATATCATAATAAGTATAAATTCATCGTCGTAATTGTCAATATCATTCGTGATTATCTGTTGGTAACATCGCCATCGCTACGACCATCACACTGCCATCATCATCACCTTTACATCAACATCATCATAACAATCAAAGCAACGTCATTGCTCCCATCATCATAACTTCAATATGAATGAGGATTATTCTAATATTGCCCAAAATCGTCACGATAACGAGTTACTATGTCTAATTATGTGCATTGCCTCATCAATCATCATCTGCGGGCTGTGTTTATATGTCAGCGTCCACGGCTGTGGTTTGTGTCGCTCAAGTAGATGTCTCTATTATGCGTTTCATAACAACCCGTTTGGGTTGTTATGAAACAGTCCCCAATGCGACTGCATCTCATTGTAAAGCGTGCAATGATCAGCACTGCATCGCGCGCTTTCCGATGCCCTTCTGCGGCCGTCTGGAACGCTCTTCCGATATTAGGAAGCCACTGGTAGCTATGCACTTTTAACTCATCGTCTCGATTGAAATCTCATTTTTGTACAACTCCTTCGTTTGTTGTCCTTCCCCCCGCACCTCCGATGTGCACGTTTGGCTACGTACGGTGCAAAAGAAGTTCAACATCCATTCCTACGATTAGCACAGTTGGCAACGTACGGTGCAGAATAAGTTAAACATACGTGCCTCAAATTATCACAGTTGGCTATGTACGGTGCAAAATAAATTCAACATACATACATTCCTCCGATTATCACGTTTGGCTCAGTACTGTGTAAAAAAAGTTCAACATACATACCCCCAACGTACAGGGCGAAAGAAGCTCACCATACACGCAGAGAAGATGCCGCTGCAACAAGTGGAGAGTACACCCTGGCGGAGGGGCTACGGCAGGCCTCCTAAAACTGTAGATTCGCTATAAATAGCGCCACATATCTACAAACTAAGCCTGGCTGCGTCTACAAACTAAGCTAGTCTGTATAGTTTGTAGATATGCACAGTTTTAGGAGGCCTGACGTATACGTACACGGCAACAATCAAGAACGAGATGCGCTTCGAGCTCGCCATGGACCACGTCGGTGTCGGCATGTCGTTCCGTCAAACGGCTGCTGCCATCGATCATGCCAGGATCCGCACCAACACGCCGAAGCTGCAGGGCATGAACGACCTCATCGTCGCACAGTCAGTCCGTGTTCTGGTGGCCGTCGGGCTGCAGATAATCGCCAGGATAATCGACGATCCATCGGTGTGGGCCTTCTCTCTGGCTGGCGACGGCAGTACTCACTGCGGCCAGTCGTTCTTCGACCTGCGCACCCGCGTTTGTTACCGCGGCTTCCTCGTCAATCTGCACCTGGTCGCGATCCCTATGTTCGAGCGTCACACTGCTCAGAACATCTTCCGCATGCTCGTCAAGTTCCTCGACGCGCTGTACCCCAACTGGCGCGCCAAGCTGATCGACTTTTCATCGGACGGCGAGAATACGATGACTGGGCGTCATGGGGGGCTGGTGACGCTCATTGTGAAGGAGGCCGAGAACGACGTCATTCGAATCTGGTGTCCGCCTCATCAGATCGATATTGTGGTCAAGAAATCCGCCGAGTGCGTCTTCGATGGCAGCTGGGTGAAGATCGTGTACGACTTTTCGGTGTACCTCTGCGCCCAAAACAACCTGATCATCAAGATGAAGGTCAAGTGCCCCAGGAAGGCTAACCGATGGGCCAATCTCGGGAACGTGCTCAAGTTCTACAAGCAGTACCGCCGAGCATTGATCGAGTACACTACTGAGAACAACCCCGCGAAGCTGCCCACCGCCGATTGGTGGGTTCTTACCTACGCGCTCGCGCCCGCCATCGACGCCATCAACGTCACTATCGTCCAGCTCCAGAGCCAGTCGCTGCTCATCGCGCAGCAGGAGGAGCATATTCAGTCGCTTATCGGGTCGCTCACCGTTTTGTTCAGTGTTGAGATTGTTGATGGCGTCAACAATCATGATGAGGCGTACGTGTCGTATCATGATCAGTCGATGCGCATCGCGTCTGCCGCGATCATTGCCCACATTGAGGACCAGGGATCGTTTGCGCAGGAGAGCTACGAGGGTCTCAATGAGGTCGACAAGACAAGGATCGTCAAGGAGATCTCGATATATGCGATGACGCTGATCGCGGGTCTCAACGACGTCAAAGCAGAGCGTAACGACGCCAATCGAGCTCTCGACCAGGATGCGGCGCCCGTGATGCCCGCTCAGCTCGTGAAGATGCGTCCTGGTGTGTTCGTGAAGGACGTGCTGGCAGTGCGTCGCGTGCATGTTACGAAAGTCTGGTCAGCTGTGAAGGTCGACATGGTCGAGGAGGAGCATCGCCAACTGGTCAAGCTCTACAAGGAGGACACGATTATTCACGACGCCATCAACAAGCACACCAACACGACGACATTCAACGACGCGTGGGATGTGCTGCCGAGTGGTTTCGACAACCTCCGCGCTTTCAGCGGCGGGTTGGCATCGGTGCTCACCAACACGACGGCGGTCGAGTCGGGCTTCTCGATACTCAAGTGGGAACTCGACGAGTTCCGCAGTTCTATGATGCATCTGTCCCTTGAGGGCATCTTCCAGACAAAGCAGCATCGCCTCCTGGTGTCGTTGCTTCGTTAGCGAGCGTAAATCAATGAAACAATGGGGCTCTATAGATGATCTACATTTATTCTACAAACTAATCCTGGCGGTGTCTACAAACTAAGCTAGTCTGTATAGTTTGTAGATATGCACAGTTCTAGGAGGCCTGGGCTACGGGGTAGAGAGGGACAGCCGACTCAATCTCTCTCGGTGTGTCCCATCGCATCCGTCTTTGTTCGAATGAGCTGCGTGCGTGTGTGTGTGATGGATATTTGTTGTTGTTGTTGAGCGCTTTTCAGGAGGCGCATGCAAAGGGAGCAGTTCCACGATTTCCGTCGCGCGGTTCAGGCACTCTCAAGACGCGGGCGCAGTCGGTCAGCGCAGTCTCACGAAGTGGATCTTTGCTTGTGGGCAGAGGAGTAAAGTCAGACACTGAGGACTGTGATGAAGGTTTGCGCGCAAAGTGTGCCCGCCTCTTTCGATGAGGGACGAACGTTCGTACGACATCGCGGTGTCGGACGTACTCCGATGATCTGACGTTTTCTATCGCGCCGGCTGGGATGGTGCGTTCAGTTTCGCGGTTGCTGTATGAAACAACCAATGACATTCATTCAGTAAGCCACGTTTGTTACACTCGCAAGACGAGACAAAGATCCCCCGTGTAGCCTTAACAGACTTATTGGGGCAAGTGCCGTTAGTGAGGACTGGCACAGCACACGAGGGGTTGGATGGTCAGAACCACGCCCGACCACCTTTGTCTCCCTGAGTGGCGATGTTTACACATCGCACCAGGTACTCATTTGAAGCTGAGTCGCCCTAGGGGAGGTCCAGGACTGGTTCAGATCATGAATCATCACTGTGATTGGCCGTGAACGGGTATGGATCTCGGGTCGCCGGGTTCGTTCTACAGTGCGCTAACCACGACACTCCCGCTCCCCCTACACTCACACACACTGATACACAGACACACGTTGACAAACACGCCAACTCCACAGACGCAAACTCGCACGACGCACAGAAATACACACATGCAGACGTGCACACACATGTACGCAAGCATACGAACACGCACATTGGCACAAATATTGACACACGCAGAAAAATAAACACGCACTTACACGCACACACAAGCACACTGGCACACACACACACACAACTAAACACGTCCACACAAACTCACGCTGACACAAACTGACACAAAGACACCGTGACACACACACACGCGCGCGCGCGCACGCGCGCTGTACCGCGCACACACCACGCACTTGCAGAGCGAGCGCCGATGGCCGAGCGGCCGAGCCACCACCACGTGAACGGCGGCTCGGACGCCGGGGCCCACGGGGACGGGGCCGCCTCGGCGGGCCCGACGGACCGGGGGCCGGGGCCGGGGGCCGGCACGCCGGACTCGCTGCTGGATGTGCAGGACTCGGTGGACGCTCACCTCGCCCTCAAGGGCATCAACATGCTGCTCAACAACGGCTTCAGGGACGCCGACGAGCTCTTCCGCCTTCACAGGTGTGAGCAGTGTGTGTGTGTGTGCAGTGTGTGTGAGTGCAGCAGTGTGTGTGTGTGTAGCAGTGTGTATATGTGTAGCAGTGTATGTGTTTGCAGCAGTGTGTGTGTGTAGCAGTGTGTGTGTAGCATTTGTGTGTGTGAGTGCAGCAGTGTGTGTGTAGTAGTGTGTGTGTGTAGCAGTGTGTGTGTGTGTAGCAGTGTGTGTGTGTGCAGCAGTGTGTGTGTGTGGGCAGCAGTGTGAGTGCAGCAGTGTGTATGAGCAGTAGTGTGTATGTGTATGTGCAGCAGTGTGTATGTGCAGCAGTGTGTATGTGTGTTTGCAGCAGTGTGTATGAGCAGCAGTGTGTATATGTATGTGCAGCAGTGTGTATGAGCAGCAGTGTGTATGTGTGTGTGCAGCAGTGTGTATGAGCAGCAGTGTGTATGTGTGTGTGCAGCAGTGTGTATGAGCAGCAGTGTGTATGTGTGTGTGCAGCAGTGTGTATCGGTGCAGCAGTGTGTGTGTGTGCAGCAGTGTGGGGAGCAGTAGCATAGCTGTTAGCGGGCTCAGCAATGACCCGAGTTCAATTCCCGCTCACGGAAAACACCAATGAAGATTATCTGAACCCGTCGCAGACCTCTCTTAGGTCGACTCGGCCTCAAATGAGTGCCTGATTAGCATGATTGGCTATGTACGGTGCGATAGAAGTTTAGCATACACACATCAGCACTGGGGAGACAAAGGCGGCCGGGCGTGGTGCTTGCCACCCACCTCCCTAACAGCACTTGCCCCAACTCTTGGCTCAACAGTCTATTAAGGGCTATACGCGGGATCTTTGCCATTGTGCAGTAGTAAATGCACTGCGCTACGAACTAGGCTTCTCTAAGTGACCTACACGAAACTGCACCACCGTCCTATGTGGATGGTGTGTGCACGGTGCCCGTTTCTGCCAAAGCCGGTCATCTTCAACTGCGGTTGACGGCAACTGAAACCACGCGGTGACCTGATCGTCCCACACACCTACGGCACTTGCAGTGTTTCCGTTCCTTCTAGTCATCCACTCACTCAGCTATTCACTCACACACTCACCTACACATTCACTCACCCACTCTCCGACTCATTCACCCACCCACCCACTCACCCACCCACCCACTCATCCACCCACTCACCCACCCACTCACTCACCCACTCACTCACCCACCCACTCACCCACCCACTCACTTACTCACCCACCCACCCACTCGCTCACTCACCACCCACTCACCCACCCACTCACCCACCACTGCCAGTCACTGTGCAGAATTTGTCAATGTCAGCCAATTCTGCAGTAGACTGTGTCCAGCCCATATAGTCACCCACCACTCATTCACTCACCCACTCAACTCCTTATTCACTCACCCACTCATTCACCCACCCACGTATCCACTAATTTACTCACACACCCACACACCCACCCACTCGCTCACCCACCCACCAACCCACAATTACCAGTCACTATGCAGGACTTGTCACTGTCAGCCTTTTCTGCGGCAGACTCAAGTCGGACGTGCTCTCACAGTTCCTATGATCACTGTTGCATTGCTTTTATGGCTTTATTTTGGTGATTTCGAAAACTTTTTTTGGTTTGGCCATATTTGTTTGTTGTAGTACGGAGTTAGACTGATGGCCTTAATCTAAGTTGTATTGTGGTTGTGGTTGTTGTTTGACTTGCATCCCATTGGGATTTTTGTACAGCGTTGGTGTATGGTGCTTTTTTTCTGAAAGACTTTGCAGTTTTTTCCTGGATTTTTCTGTTTGCGCATAGTCACATAGTTACTTTAAGATGTTGTCTTGTTCATGTTTTTGTTTGTTGCGGTTGCACCCGATTCAAGAGCCGAATTGCTCACAGGGCTATACCTAATAAATGAAACTGAAACTGGTAGCCTCTGTGCCATAGGAACGGCACAAATCCCTTTGGTTCCCGGCCACAGCCAACGTGAGCAGAGAGTCCTCCCAGGGCCGGTCCTAGGCTCTCCCTTCACCGGTCCCCATTGGCCAGCGCAGTGAAGGATGCTCACGCAAACTCCCGTGACTGACACGGTACGAATTCCATCCAGCAGTGGATCGACCAAGGGGCTGTGAATCATCATTATGATCACTAATACGTCGATACGTCTGGAATGTACACGCAGAACGGTTTAACGTGTGAACCGAGTTTTGCCAGCGATGTATAAACACGTGCACAACACACACACACGGTGCGCGCATCACCTGCTGACATCACTGCACCGTGATGGCATGCTTGACCTTGACTTTAAGCGCACGGGTTTGCACACACGCACGCACACACACACGCGGCCACGCTGCGTATCTTTACGATGAGAGCTGTGGGTTTGTTTATGGAGTTGGCTGCAGTTTGCTCGGAGGTCAGAGACGCTGAGCCGACACCACTGAGATCCTGGTTGCAGCCGCCCGCGATCGAACCGCGTTCCCAAGCGTAGCGAGTTGATTGTCATAGCCCAGTGACCAACGACTGCACACACAAAAATAGTTTTATTTAATTTCGTTCGTCACTTAAATTTGGGTAAATTTGGGTAAATATGGGTACATTTCGGCTCTGAGAAAATTTAAATATAAAATTTACTGAATATTAGTCTCTGGGTGGGTGCGAAAGCGCTGCCCTCTACTGTGCGGAACAGAGGCCACTTAAAACGATTTCATAAGTAGTTCTGCGGTGTCTGCTTCTGCGGGTTGTTCTATCAGACGAAGTTTTCGTACGGCTCAGTGAGTGTTGGGGAATGGATTCTTTCTCATGACTCCGATAACACACCTGGGCTAACACTGGGGGAAAAGATATTTGTGGGGGGGGGGGGCGTTGCAGAAAGAGCAATCAATTTATTTTATTGGTTGTCTTCCTCTAACCAACCATCATCAAGCGAGTCGATTGTCTGTTTGCCGTTGGTTGTGTTATCTTAAAGGGTGTGCCCAGGTTCGCAGAACGCATGTGTGGAGAGCGGTAGGGTAGTGGTTAGCGCGCTGCGCTACGAACCTGGCTACCTGGTTTCTATTCCGGCTCACGGCCAACACCAGTGATGATAATATTAACCGGTTCTGGGCCTCCTCTAGGTCGACTCAGCCTCAAATGAGTACCTGGTGCAGTGTGTAAACATTGCCACTGGAGAGACAAAGGCGGCCAGGCGTGGTGTTGGCTACCCACCCCCTAGTGTGCCGTACCGCCCTTCATAGGTGCTCGCTAACAGCACTTTGCTGCAACAGTCTGTTAAGGCTATACGGGAGATCTTTAGCTTTTTGTGTGTGTGTGTGACACAACCGTATAAACAACGCCGCTTAAGACCTGCTCACGAAACACTGACCCCCCCGCACCACCCACCCACCCAGGAACAGGCGTCACTTCCCGTGACAGCCGGGCCGGTTCATATAAATATCTTCTCTGCACCTGCAGGAGCCTGTGCTCTTTGGACTTGTAGCGGTGCGTCGGTTCGCCGTTTAAAATCGCTTCTCACGCTCGCAATACGTCCAAACAAGTGGCGTGACACGTTCTGTGTGCCTGGCAAAGGGGGTTGCATGTCATTCAAATTAAGCATAAAGGATGAACTTAAACATGATTAAAAAATAACAATTGTGTGTTCCTGGCCGAGACCAGCAACTCCGTGGGACGTGAGAACCCGGTTTTAATCGTGGGCAGCTGAAACCTGAATCTGGACCCACCATCTCAGCTCCACTGGCACATCCGAATCTGGCTTGCGGGTCAAGCGTGACCCCAGGGGCAGGGTTAATCATCTTTGTGATATTAAACGTTGACCCACACCCAGGAAGAGGCGTCAATTCGCACCTCCTATGAGCACGGTTGGCTGCGTACGGTGTGAAAGAAGTTAAACATGCATACGTGACTATTGCACGTGGCTTGGCTTGTGCAGTGGAAAAACAAGCTGGCGCTTTCCGAGCCGCATCGGGATGGCTTGGCAGAGCCCTGCCGCGGCTCAGTTGTGCGGTGGACAAGAGGTTATCGGTTTCTGGCACGGTGTCAGCCCTCTTGAGCGACCGCCCTACCTCCAAGCCATCGCTTGTTGGTTAGTTAAAACCAACCGGTTGATTTTCCCATCGATTTGAACCGAGACGTTTCGTAACAACAACAAGCGCCTACTCCTCCTGGGGGTGAATTTGTTGTTGTTTTGTTGTGCCGGTTTTGAGAGACAATTTGTGTTGAACTTCTTTCACACCGCACATAGCCAACCGTGCTAATTGGAGGTGCAGGGGAAGGACAACAAACTAAACACAAAAAGCACTTCTAAAGAAATTAGTTTTCAATCTAGATTATTTAAAAGTGCATAGCTACCAGTAGCTTCCTAATATCGTAAGGAAGAGCGTTCCAGACGGCCGAAAGCACGCAATGCAGTGACCATCTTTGTTCAAAGGCTGAGAGCCAAAAGCCATCGCTGTGAGGATGACCGGAGTTCACGTGATGGTTTATGTTCCTTGACGAGATCGGCCAGGTATTGTGGTGCATTTGTGGCAAGCACTTTGTGTTTATCTTGCTTCGTGCCATTGCATCAGCCTAAACAGATCCACCAAAAACCAGTTTCCCCCGTCAGTATTTAAACCCGGTCATCGCCAACTCTCCGATGCATTCTACACGCGCCGTGCGGGATCGTGGTGGAGGCTGCGAAAAGGCAGGTCGTGGGAGCGTAGAGGTACAGTGCAACTATCGATGTTGCTGCGCAGACTTGTCTGCTCATCGCCACGTGGTGGGCCGGTAGCCTATAGCACCTGTTATCTCACGGTGGCCGCCCATCCAAGGACTATCCAGGGTCTTAGCATCTGAATTCATCGGCAAAGGAGCGTGGACTTCAACAGTGTCAGGGAGTCAACAGCACAGATGGCTGGGGAATAAGTTGACTCACATTCGTGTTGTTATTCTAATATGTCTGTTTACGCACTGCAGCGTCACTTGGTGTATACGCGCAGCTGCTGTAAATGGCGCTGACTCGTCTTTACGTAGAATGTAGATTGAATAATATTT